CAGAATTTTAAGTTAAAAGGTACTAGTAAATTATTTCTGACCGGTAATATGATTAAGTTAAAAATGAATATACTATACACGTATTGTTATTTTGTATATGGTAAATTTGAAAATTAAATCTAGACACCTAATTATATAAATATCTAAACATTCTAATATTTATATATTTGTTAAAATAAAAGCCCGTCGTGATGTACCCACGAAAGATTATCAAGCTACCTATATTTCTTTATTTTTAATAAATAAATAAAATTATAAAGTCTAAATCTTCAGTGACTAGAGATAAATTTTTTTTAATAAATAAATAAAATCTTAAACCTTAAACCCTAACCTTTTATGTTGGAAAATTCAAACAAGAATCGTCCAAAAAATAAGCAAAAATATAAATACTACATTTGTCTAATTATTTATTAAAATATTGTTATTTAAATATTAATGAAAAAATTTGCATTAAATGACCAATCATTCTCGGCGAGAAAAAAAATACATTTTAAAATATAATAATAAATGGAATAGAATGACATTTATTATTGACAATTTGAAAAAAAAATAATACAAAATCTAGATTTGTAAATATTTTTAAAAAATGGACATGTGTAGAATATCACGTGTAATATGATTCGTTAGTGACAAATTCTATAAAAAAATTTAAATATACATTTTGAACCATTTATTGGAATAGGAGTGTCATGGCTTGGGTTGATATACACTTTTTACAACCAACTCAATTGTTCATATTATAAATTTTTACCATTGATAATAAGTTCGGTTTGTTTAGTTCAACCAAAAGATATTTTAGGTAGATTTTGAAACCAACCAAACTTATATAATTTTTTTAAATCCAACCTAACCTAAAGAGTATGAGTTGAGTTAAGTTGGTCAGTCTTTTACTTTTTCTCTAGGTAATTAGATTTTTGAACACCCTTAGCTTGGATAAACGAAGAAAATAATATTTTTTAAGAAGTCATTGAGAAAATAGTTTAATTTGGTCTGCTTATGATGCCAACAAAGTTTGAAATGTCGATGTCGATGGAAAAATCGAGGTCTCAATTTTACGGATACGTCGATGTCGATAGATATTTTTAAAAAATTATGAAAATTGTTTGAATTAGTAAATGAAATTTTAATTGTAGTTTAATTGGACTATAATTGATCACTTTTAATCATCATATGTACAAATACGAGTAACTTATGGAAATGTCGATGTCGATTGAAATGTTGGAACAAGATAATAAAGATTGATGGAAATGATTTGAATGAGTACTTAGTTCAATGTTGTTTAATTATGTTTTATTGATAATTTATAATAAAATATAGTACTTAATTAGATAATTGAACAAAATATTGAATATCCATATATATAAGATGGAATATAAAATTCTATTATTATACAAGTGGGTATAATACATAAATTAAAACAATTTGTTATGATTGACCAGACTTTTTGGACATGATTTAGTTTTATTCCACTCCACATTGGACGATATACAAATGCTAGAAGAGCTTGTATTACAAACCTCTCTTTTGTAGGCTTGTAAAAGGTATTTAGAGTGGGTCTAAAGTATCTTCCCATGAAGGCAACATAGTCCGGCCTAACGGGTGGGTGGATGGGTTTCCTTGCGCTTGCTAGGAAAAAAAATACCAACAAAGGGAAAAAACGACTTTCTTTCTGAGTTGATGTCGAGCCTGGCAACATATAGCTCGACTTTTAGTTCTCTGTATGCGAAACCTACCTCATTTCATTCCCTTCTTCCAAATACTCCCTAAATATACGGAAGAATAATACACATTCGAGGATGATGTGCTTACACCATCTCAGTCAATATGTCATTAGAGGAGAGTATTATCTAATATAAAGTCTTATTTCCAACCATGAGATGCCTACACACATTTAAAATATTGCTTTTGTAATTGCTTTTGTTTATTTATTTGTTTTTTTGGGAGATCTCTACAATTAATCACTTCTTCACTACAAGGATTCTCAGAAGATGGACGATATTACTTATAAACACTGAAAAAATACTTTATATTAGATAGAATTACTTTGCAAAATTTATCTTTCAATAACATAATCAACTTTTAAATACTATTCAAATAACATAATTACTACTCGGAGAAAATTTTATTTGAAAAACTGTTTCACTTAAAAACATTAGTCGTGGTCCCAAACTAATACTTACAATTATTTGTAACTATTTCATGGAGTAAAAATTGACCCATCTTCCAAATTTGTCCCCCCATGGGTAGAGAAGAAGCATAAAACTTGTTCAGGGGTCGTTTATTTCATGAGAATCCAAGTTCCTATTAGACGGGCATCTGGATTACTACGTTTGTTTTTTGTGGAAATGTAGATGCTCATACTCGACATCCAAGTTGTTTTGGATGTCATTTTGAAACATGGGTTTCCATGATTCCAGATCATCCTATATTGACATTTTTGTCCCTTCATTATTTTTTTCATATCTTTTCTTTACTTTAATTTGTAATTTTATAATTTAAATAAATTAATGTACTCAACAATTTTATGCAATTAAGTTTATTTATATCTTAAAATACAGATAAAATAAACTTTAATTAGATTATATAATATCTCCTTTTACTTTTAATATTTCGAAGGATTTATTATGAAAAATATCTACTAATTTTAACAACATTTTTTTAACGATTAGCTTACATTTGATATTTATCTTCTTAAAATAATATAATTTGATAATATAATAAATGAATTTCAACTCTGAKAACATTAATTATATAATTGTATTTCTTGAAAATTATTAAAGTTGAAAATAAAATTTATATTCAATATTAATTACTTTTAAACTCTTGTATTAATATGAATTCTACCAAATAACATATAGACGACGCAATTAATATAAAAAACCAAAATATTAAATTAATTCTAAAAAATCTATTATATTTATATATAAAATTATATGAATATTCGTAAGAGCATTTTTGAAACATTATATAAATTTAGAACATTCTCATGAATAAATATTGCAAAACGGCTATCTAAAAATTTTCGAATATCCTTATATTTTTTCCTACGAAATAGACATGGACATCTAGATGTCCACATATAAAATTCCGAACATAAAAAATTACAGGCATTTGAAGAAGACATCTACATTCTCAAAAAACGAATAGCCTCTTGTTTGTATTTCCTAAAGCTCATAGAAGAATTTAATCTTGACATGTACATAATTCAATTTGTCAAAACATTAGTTACATCCTAGAGGCGAGAAGTTCAAACCCTCAACTAACTATTGAAAAAAAAAAAGGTTCTGACATCCAATCTATCATCATATTTAGAGAAAGGTGACGTTAACTCTGGGGCCAAGTGTTTTACAAAGAGTGGACATAATTCACAGCTCCCACTCTCCCACCCCTTCAAATCAAAGAAAAGAATTCCTGATACTGAAGAAATTTGTAGTCGCAAGGGGGGTCCAGATAAATAGTCATTCTCAGTTCATCTTCAGGATTTACAGGTGTTTTACAAGTACGAGATTTTGGAAAGATTCTGCAACTTGCAGGTGCTGATTTAAATAAAATGTTAAGAGTGATGAAAGGGGTCTTGGATGTCCTCACCCCAGAATTGCAACAATTAACGCATATGTTCCACTAACCATAACAAATTTATACAACCTCATTAAAGATGAGGAAACAAGAAAGTTGGGAAGTTTACCCATCCATGTAATGCCACTATTTGAAACAGAAATCAAGAATTTCAGGAGCACCAATTATTACGAAAAGAAGGGGGAAAGAATGTCGCTCAATAAAACAGCTTCATCTTGATTCTGACCCGTCTTCCAGACTTTGAAATCTGAAGGAAAATAGTCAGCATCCTTCCAATTCTTTAATGACGCAAGAGAAAAGGGCCCTTGTACGTCCCCCTGGGGATCTAAATAATACCAAATTAAGCTTCTTAGTTTGATACCCCAATCATGCTCTTCAAACCTTGGTTGTTCATCATCATCGCTCAAATTAATCACTCCAGATTCTTTAATCCGCTCGCTCGCTTGACAGCCTTTCTCCACCTCATTCATAATTTCTGTCTCATTATTGCAATTATACGTAGATTCTACTGGTTTTGGAGGCTGTTCTTCATCAAGAACACCCTGTCGAGATTCTGCAACAAGGTAATGATAGAAAGTAATCAGTTCACACGCCACATTGCCTGTTTTCTTCCAATAAGTCGTTTGTTTTCTTCCAATAAGCAACATTTTGTAAAATATTGTTTCAGTAATGGAAAGGAGCCTGTTGACAAAGGTAATTTAAGTAGATTACAAGGACGGAAGAAAAACTACAAATAGTATGGATGGTAAGAAAGCTAATAACCGTGGTTACTATTGACTTGTCATTTATCAAAACAGGCACAATGACCAAAAACAATAATTTTGAAGATTGGAAGAGTGAAAAAATGTGGAGGTAGGACTTTGAACCTCTATAATTCTGAAGATTGGATTATAACCTTCACACAGAAATTAGTCAAGATACCTAGGTATCCAGACATCAAGATTACATAAATACATTTGTCAGAGGGTAGGCTTGAACAGCTAGATGCAATATCAAAACATTCACACAGAAATTAGAGCCGAGATTATAACTAAAGACGACAAACCTGCAACTTCTTTTATGTTGGACATCAAAGCTGCAGTTCCATTTTCTGCAACATAAAAAGCAATCTTTTGGCTTGAATTAGGTACAGTATCTCCTTGATTTGTATCATCTAAAGCCTCGCCTCTCATCTGCAATTTTGTTTCATCTCCTTCATTAGTCACATTATCTCCTTGATCTGCACTAACATAAATGCTTTTCAATTCTGTTTCATCTGCAATCACTTGTGGAATCTCACGCAGTATGCGTGACTGTTCTTCTGCAGTCTGAAGGAGCTGCTTTTTCTCCAGGTATTGATCAAGCGTACATCAAGTCAGTTAAGGCTTATTTGTTGTGTTTTGGGAAATCTTACTTCAAAATGTCTCAAGATTTTTTATCGAATAAAATGTCACGGGATCAGAAGCTACTGTAAGTGATATTTTTGACCGCACACCAGTCTAATGATAAGCATAACATGAGATGGTGTTGATATGCCAGGACCCACTACAGGTTATAAAATTATAAATCCTTGTACTGAACTCCTCAATATCATTCCATCCACCCACTAAATCAAAATTTGAAAGCATTATACTTCGTGGTTTAAACTACTGAAGGGAAGTAGGTGCTTATACTCGGTCAACCATGTCTTGAGTGTATCAAGTGGCTCAAAATAGAAACAAAAATATAGCCATCAAGAAGCAACGCACTAAAGCTGCCACAGAGATATCTTTTTAATCAGCATATTAAAAAAAGGTTGAGAATATCACACAGTAAGAAGAGGCATGCTCTCATCATATAAAAATGCTGCTACAGAGAGATACAATAGGATGGAATTATATATGTTATTACCTCTATTAGGACCATCTAAAATTATTCTAGACATAGATCATTTACTATAATGTTAAATTATATTTAGGCTTGATTTCAATAGAACTTCATATAATAATATTTATTCTTGAATTTGGAATTGATTGGTCTTGCGAGCAGAAAGAAACAATACAGTTTAACATGACTGTTTCTTTATATTTGTTGAACTTGAAGCAGACAAACAGTTTTGAAATGACTGTTAAAAAGAAATCGAGAGAGAAGAGAAACAGGAATCCCAGCACTGATACCAATTGGTGCAAAGTAGAGAAGAAAAACTACTACTAGAAAACGAGAGAGAAAATAGGCGTTAACATCAATGGTGAACTATTGACTTCGAATGCATCCTGGTATCGATTGTGATTAATAATTATCTAATTATAGAAATTTAACAAAACTAACACTTGCAATACAATAAAATTGATGCATATGCTAGCTAAAGCGAATTTGTCTTATGGTAAAATGTATAATGTGCATCTGTATGGATGTTTGTTGTGAGAATCTACAATAAGAAGAAACCACAAAAGGATATTCCCTGCGCCACCCCTTTTCATTCGCTTGATCAATGAGGTTTTGCAGCAAAGAAATTTCGCTTAAAAGCCACTGAAACAGAAACATAGCACCAATTTGACAGACCACGTCATTAAAACAAAGACGTGCAAAAAATAATTGACATTGTCCTTGGACCACAAAAATTTCATATTCAAAATGATCTTCATCGAAGCTCATGAGATCAGACAATTTCCATATTCAAAACGATGAATTTAGCACAGTAAGGAAATACTTCATCAGATGAGCGTAGCGGCTGGCAGGAACAAACTTTTGCATACAATTGTACAGATGCATATATTCCATAGAGCATTTTTGGTCCGGTGGCCATCCGTATTAATTGTTTGTAGTCTTAACTCTTCACATTTCAAGACTTCATCTCAGAATGAAGCCTTCAGTAGTAAACATCCATGATTTTTCATTTTTTATCCTAGTAAGTTCTTCATGTTTTTTTATTTTATTTATTTTATTCTATTTATATTCGTGAGTGTTCAGGGCAGCTTATGTACACCTCGATTAATCTCACGGGGCAACTATTTGACCCTACAAATAATAATTTGGCATGATGCTGCAATGAGTGACACAAAAAAGTAGACCAACTAGATAAAATAAGGGTAGGCCATATAACTCTTTGGCCCATCCACTACCATTATTTTATCCAATTGACCTACTTTCTAATGCCACATCATGTTAAATCATCACTTTATTAGTCCAATTGGCATGTCATATCGTCATTTAGTGCTAAAAGTCTGAACTTATTAGAATCAAAATCGAAAAGTGAACTACCTAATTAGAGCTTTTTAAAGTTCAATAACTAAGCAAACAAACATCAAAATTCATGAAGTAAATATATAACTTTAACCTTACTAAAACAACTACACAGATACCCCCACATTTAGGTTTAAAAAAAAAAGAAAGAAAGAGAGAGAGAACGGTCAGATAATTATTTTGAATTTTTTTTCCTTGAACTTCTTTACTTTAGCATAGGCTAAAATTTTTCTCCCGTGTATATTTATACTTTTAATGACATAGTTTCTCATCAAAAAATGTTAGGATAGCAAGTGAAAGTCAGGGTACACATCAGCAAGTCCAAGTAAATAAAAAACTGAGATTCAGCTCTCAGCTTGCCCCCGTTTATTTGTTGATGAAATTTGAGAGATGGTAAAAGAAAGAAACATCATAGGAGAGAGAATACTTTTGCCTTGGAAGACGGAAGCACCAATTTCCCCTCTTCTGAGAAAGGGTAAAGGTAACCAAGTAAAATCCTATGGATCAACACACCTCCGGCTTGCTCTTATAGCATATTTGGCTGAAGTGTGTAGCAACAAGTTTCGGATTTTGAGACTACTACACTTTTAGCATCTTCTTGGTGCACAAAATCTAAGTGGAGCATCTAGCTTTTTTATGATGGTTGAGGATGTGGTGTTTCATCCCCATTCTAATTAGCTATCTTATGGAACATCTAGCTTGAGAGGAACAACCTCTCAAGAGGATATTTACGGGAGGTTTGGTCCACAACTGGATTTAAAACTTCCCACTGAGTGTCGGTGCCTAAAGAGTCATGTTATCCTTTTATCTTATTCTTAACTATTGGAGCCTTTTCTTTTAGTTTATTTGGCTTTTGGCATTGTTTTTATCTGGGCTCTATTGCCCATCGTTTATCATTTCATTTGCTCTATGAAAGCAGGGTTATTCAATAATAATTAAAAAAAAATGGAGGCTATTATGAAATAAAAGAAAATAAAGAAGCAGCAAAAAGGGGGAAAAATTGTGTCATTGGAAAAAATGGAAAAGAAAGGATGGTTATGAGAAGGTCAAAGGTATCCACTTAGCAAAATTGAACCTCGGCCAATCTTAAGTCAGCAAACTGTCTCTTCCTAAAATGAAGTTTAGCTATTAAAACACCAACGGAACTCCAATGTTTGGTTCTATTATGACAATAGAAGCTTTGAAATAACTGTTAATAATAAGAAAAGAAAATAATTCTTCCTTGATTACTCCAAATGATTGATACAAGGCTATATATAAATAGCAGTCACAAAGAAGAAACTAAAAAGAAATTCTTGCCTATTAGGATAAGGAAATACTTACCTATTAGAACAATAAAACCCTAACCTAAATAAAATAGGAAACCTTTAAAATAAAATAAACTATAATTTAACAATAACCATTCAATTACTGGGGACTTTCACTACCAGAGAGAACCACAAATCCCCAACCCCCTCTTCATGTGGCTGACTGGAGAGCATCCAGTAATCTCCCAAATTGTGAGAGTGACCGTTGGGTTTCTACTTTCCCTCCCTTTTCTTATATGCTCTTTCTATTGTAATACAAGTCATGCTTCTACTTTAAAATGAAAAAAAATACATACAGAGAGATTAAGCCAGCAGCATAATCGAAGTATCTACTAAACAGGTCACCACTAATCTCCGACATGGCTCCACGGAGATTATCCACTATGATAGAAAACAAATCCTTCGATCAGAAATATAAAGGAAGAGTGGTCCAGATTGAAGAACTTCACCTACAAAGAAGATTTACAGTTTCCTTTGAAGAAGTGATTGTAGTTTGGTTAACAGATGCTATCTCAGACCTTCTTCTCTCACCTCAAAACCAGAAGTTTTTTCGGAAGACCCATTGTGCAAATGGTATTGTTTGAATCCTAAAAACCACAAACAAACGAGAGAGCTTCATTGAGATAACCAAGGTACAAAACTCAGGAGGAAAGACAAACTTAGTTGTCCCGGCAGGGGAAGATTTCAAAGGCTGGATATCCTTTAAGCAACTTTTGCTAGATTTCCTGAATGGGTTCGAATCAACGAGCCTTGCAAAGCTCCCTCATAGGCCATCATCAGAAAAATCATATGCTTCAGCTCTCTTGTGCCCATCTCCGACACAAAGGAAGAAAACAGAAGTGCAGCCACTGACTAAAGAAGTTAGGTTCGTTGACTGGAACCAAGTCCTAGTTATAACCAGAAGAGATTTCCACGACGATTGGGGGCTCATACTCACTACGCTCGAAAGTCAACTCCAGAGAAAGTTAATCCTTAATGCCTTCCAACCGGATAAGGCCATTCTTAAATGCCCGAACGAAGAGCGAGCTAGGCTCCTCTATATGAATAGAGGATGGGTTACATTCGGGGCATTAACTCTTAAAGTGGAGAGATGGAACAAGGATAGACAAGATTTAGTACATTGGTCCCTTTCTATGGTGGTTGGCTGAAACTAAGGAACATTCCTCTGCATCTATGGAGTGAGGATCTCTCCCGTAAGATAGGAGATATTTTTGGAGGGTTTATTGAGTATGCAGATGAAAATGCGGCGAGAATTGAATGTATGGATGTAGCAATCAGGGTCAAGGGTAACTAATGTGGATTTGTCCCCGCCAGAATCAAGATTCAAGATGAAGAGACCTCCTTTTTAGCGCACGTATCGACCTTCGAGGATGTGAAATTACTGATCGGAAAAGAAGCCAAGGTTCACGGCAGCTTCCCGCCGGAAGCTGCAGCACGTTTCCATGGAGGATCGGCGGGAAACATAGGTCTCAGTCCAATGGACCGTTGGAGGACAGAGGATGGTTTCTTTTACCCAGTGGTCATCGCAAATCCCCCCTTGATGAAAGACCCTGCTGCATCGAGACACTCAACGACAGAGACCTGCGAAAAGAGAGAAGAAAAAGAGGGTAGCTGCCAAGTGGGTCCCACGACTGTGCATAGAATTTCAGATCCTATCTTAGGAATTGAAGAGACCCATACGCAAAAGACAAAAGAGCCTTTCACTAAAGGAGGGGCCCTTAAAAAGAGCAATGTTTCAACCACAGACTTCGCTCAACATTCAAAAAAGGCTGCTTTTAGAAAAGGACAAAAAGGCTCTCCGAATTTCAAAAAAAAGGGTTATTTTTCCAACAGAAGAGGAAAGACAGAAAAGTAGAAAGAAGGAAATAGAAGAGGACATTGCAGAGAATGCTAAGAAGAAGGAAATCCAATTAGAAGTCTCATTAGAGTCTTCTTGGTCAAGCGAAGAACTCCCACGGGTAGAAGGGTTGCATCTAGGGGATCCTTCTACAGAATTTCCAGATGGCTTTCATAGTTGTTTTGATTTAAGTGTTGAAGAAGAGACACAAACGGCTTTTGAGAAACAGGGAATAGAGCTTATACTAGCCGAGTTCGAACCTTTAGACTGCCAGCTACCAGAGACTAGGGAAGAAGACAAAATAGAGGAGGAAGAACACTCTCGACCAAAGGTTTTCTCTTTTACTAAAGACATGGTCATGGAACTGTGGGAAAATAATTTATGCATAAGACCAATCCTAAAAAAAGGAAAGGCAGGTGGGAAAACAAACCCTTCAGAAAGCAGAGAAGTAAGAAACCTGCTTGCAACTTGGGAGAATGAAGCATAAATAGCAAAGCAGACTATAGAAGTGGGACCAACCGTTCCTAGATGAAGCTGATATCATGGAATGTTAGAGGTTTGGGCGCGGCCTCTAAACGTGCCCTAGTGAAGGATCTTATTCTGAAATCAGATCCAGACATGGTTTGCCTATAGGAGACGAAGCAAAGTTCCATAGACAAAAGCTTTGTTAGATCGCTTTGGAGCTCTAGACATGTCGGCTGGATTTCTTTAAATGCTCAAAACACAGCAGGGGGTATTCTAATTTTATGGAATGAACAAAAGATCAATATCTCTAACTCTCTTCTGGGCACTTTCTCCACTACTTTACATTTTAGTCTTACTAATGGCATTACTTTACATTTTAGTCTTACTAATGGCAGGAACGGCTGGTTTACTGGGGTTTATGGTCCCTCTTCATCATCTACAGGCAGAGCCGATTTTTGGAGGGAATTAGAGGGCTTAGTCAGCAAATGCCATGGTGCTTGGTGTATAGGAGCTGACTTCAACGTGGCTAGATGGCTCTCAGAAAAACAGAGCAAGAAACAAGGGCGAATCACTCGTAGTATGAAAGAGTTTAATGCTCTTATTGAAGCAATGAACTTATTAGATCCTCCTTTGGACAACGGCTCGTTCACTTGGTCAAATATGAGAGGCACCCCGACTCTTTCAAGGTTAGATAGATTCCTTGTCTTTAAAGATTGGCTTGATGTTTTTGCCAATCAAAGAGTTTCTAAGCTGTTCCGCACAACTTCGGACCACTTCCCCATTCAGATGGCTTTTGAGGCTATTAAATGGGGTCCTACCCCCTTTCGTTTTGAGAATGTATGGCTCGATTCCCCACAGCTTCTTCCTATGGTAGATAAATGGTGGAAAGACAACACTCTCAGGGGATGACCTGGTTACGGTTTTATGGAGAAACTAAGAGGTCTAAAAGGTCTTCTCATTAAGTGGAATAAGGAAGTCTATGGCCTTATCGGTGTTCAGAAGGCTGATTTGATCAGAATTATTAGTGATATTAATAAGAAAGAGGAAATGCAGACCCTAACAGTAGAGGAGATTGATAGAAGGCAACACCTGAAGACACAGGTAACAGAATTGGTCATCAATGAGCAGCGTTTGTGGATGCAAAAAGGGAAAGTTAGATGGCTTGAAGAAAGGGATGAAAATTCCCACTTCTTTCATCGATGGACCTCACATAAGAAGAACCGTGCTTGGGGATCTAGTGTCTGCTCAGGGATTATTGCTCACATCTGAGAAAGATATTGAGGCAGAAATTTTGAGTTATTTTGAGACCTTATATACCACAACCACAGATACTTGCTATATGATAGATGACTTGATGTGGTCCCCTTTACAAGAAAATCACAGACAGCAGCTAGAGGCCCCCTTACAGTAGAAGAAATCAAAAAAGTTGTGGCGGATTTGGGTACCCTCAAATCACCGGGTCCGGACGGAATGAGCAATGAGTTCATGAAAAAGGCTTGGAACACTTTCAAGGGAGATATAGAGATTGTGTTCCAAGATTTTTTTGAAAAGGGGATTATCAACAAAAGAACAAATGAAACCCATATTTGCCTTATCCCCAAAAAGACTCATCCAACTTCAGTCAAAGACAAGAGACCCATTAGTTTGGTGACCTCCCTTTATAAAATCATAGCCAAAGTCCTTGCTAGTAGGCTTAAAAGCGTCCTTCCCCACATAATTCATGATTCACAGGCTACTTTCGTGGAAGGACGTCAGATTCTAGATGCCATTCTTGTAGCTTCAGATACTGTTAGCTATTGGAGGAAAGGAAAAAAGAAGGGCTTCCTCTTAAAACTGGATTTTGAGAAGGCTTATGATAGAGTTGATTGGTCCTTCTTAGATTCCGCCCTCGAAGCTAAAGGTTTTGGCCTTAAATGGCGGGGTTGGATTCAAGGATGTCTTTCCTCTACCAATTTCTCTATCATGATCAACGGAAGACCAAAAGGGAAGATTATGGCAAAGAGAGGGCTTAGACAATGTGACCCCCTTTCTCCCTTCCTCTTCACCATTGTGGGAGATGCTCTAAGTCGCCTAGTTTACTTTTGCAATGAGAGGAAGATCTTAAGAGGCTTCCCTATAGGCACAAACACTATTGAAGTAACTCATCTTCAATACGCTGATGATGTCTTGATTTTTAGCCCCTTTTCTCGGAAGAATATGGAAAGATGGTGGGGCATTATTCAAATTTTCCTCCAGATGTCAGGTCTTTCTTTGAACATTGCAAAATCGGCTGTCATAGGGGTGAATTGCAGTGCTGCAGAAGTTAATTTATGGGCAAACACTTGGGGTTGTAAGACATAAACTTTCCCTTTCACTTATTTGAGGTTCCCTCTCGGAGGTAACCATCGGAAGTACAGTTTTTGGGGAACAGTGGTGGAAAAAATGCACAAAAGGCTGGAGAAATGGAAGTTCATGCTGCTGTCCAAAGGGGGTCGGCTTACGTTGATGCAGGCGGTTCTGAATAGTATCCCAACTTATTTCTTCTCCATCCTTAAAGCTCCAAAGTCAGTGACAGACAGATGCTATGGAAAAGCTTACGAGGGATTTTATTTGGAATGGAGGGAAATATAGGCCGATTGGGAATCTTGTTAAATGGTCTTGGACTGCGCTACCTTCACAACAGGGAGGAATGGGAGCTAGGTCGTTAGCACACAAAAACACTGCCCTCTTGATGAAATGGGTGTGGCGCTTTGCGAATGAGAAAAACAATTTTTGGAGGAAGGTCATTGCTGCCATTTATGATGAAGAGCCTTTTGGATGGTGGTCCAAGCCCTCAAAAAATTCTTCAATAGGCAGACCTTGGATCGATGTTCGACCTTGGATCGATGTTCAAAGAACAACTCCAATTTTCAGCAAATTCATTACGTACAAAGTTTCTTCGGGGGATTCTGTCAGATTTTGGGAAGATAATTGGATAGATTAACTCCCTCTTTCGGTTACTTTCCCAGATTTCTATGCTATCTCAACTAAGAGGAATTTTTCTATAGCAAATTGTTGGAACACAGAGGCCTTGACTTGGGACCTTGGCTTACGGAGGAACCTGTTTGACAGAGAACTTGATAGATGGGCGATGTTCACCGGGAAAATTGAAGGGCTGGTCTTAGGACAAGATAATGATTCCATGTGCTGGACAGCTGATAGCAAAGGAGTTTTTACAGTGAAATCGGCCTTTATGGCCCTCACCTCCCCCTCTCCTAAGTTAAATGCAGCCACGGCATCTTTTATCTGGAACTTAAGGGTACCAAAGAAAGTCAAAGTGTTCCTCTGGACTCTCTTCTATAGGGGCACAAACACGGCTGGAAAAGTTCACTCCCTCAATGTGCGGAATGTGTTTCAAGAGCGCTGAAACGGTGGATCATCTCTTTTTGCATTGTCCTTTTGCAGCTACAACATGGAATTACTTGGCATCTTATCTAGATTTGGCTCTCAGCTTACCAAGGAAAATAGAGGATTTTATAGAAGAAGGCTTTGGTGGATCTTTGTTAAAAGGTAAATCTTTCATCCTGTGGAATTGTGGTGCGAAAGCTCTTCTTTGGCTGCTTTGGAAGGAACGAAACAACAGAATTTTTGCAGAGAAATAGAGTTCTATTGAAGATTTTTGTGTGAATATTAGGCATACGGCTTCTTGGTGGGCTTCAACCCACAAGAAGGTTTTTTGTAACTACGATTTTCTTTTGACTCTTCAGAGTTGGAATTCCTTGATTGTATAGTTTCTTGGGGGAGGGTCTTCTCGACCCTCTGTCCCTAGGTTGTATGCCTTTTGTTTTTGGCCTCCTCTTCTTTTGGAATGAATCAGTGTTTATTATATAAAAAAAAAAGAAATAACCATTCAATTACTTCATACAAGTGCAAGACTGGTCCACTTAAAATAAAATTTTCATGGCTGATACAATACAATTAATTATTATTTTGACTATAACAACTCCCCGTGTCAAATATACTCGTCTTCCTTCTGATATCACTCAATGTATTAAAAGTTCATGAATAAATATATATATTTTTTTTTATAGGAAACGAATGAATAAATAAAATTTTAAAAGTTCCCTCGGGCTCTTTTTGTTATTTAAAAAAAGAAAAAAAAAACAAAAGAGCCAGTGAGAACAAAATTAAAGAACAATGCAGCCATGCTAACATTTGGAGTTAATCATCATACGTACATGCTTAGTAATATCCACATGCAGGACTTCGACTTTTTGTTGAAACTCTGCCTACCAAAATGAAAAATGAGTACATATAAATAAGAGACAAATAATCTACAATTGATAAGAGAGAAATAAGGTGCATTCTCCACACTACATTTGGAGAAAATATTGTTCCAAGTCCTACCAATTCCTACGTATCCATAATTGCAACCCGGAGAGAGATAGAGTACTTCTGATAGAACCCAAATATAAATATATTGAAATATAACCAAATATAATAACTACAATAACTACCAAGTAATTTGAGGTACTTGGACCCTCCCTTCTCTTGAGTATTCTTACTCAAGCCTAAACCATACTACTAATTGCTACCTTCATCTTTTCCTCCTCACCTTATTTATAACAAAACTTACTAACCCAATTACTAATATATCCTTAATATCCTAATAATATCCCCAATTCATATTAACATTAAATATCAACGGTCTTATATCATTCAAATGTTAAAGACCTTAACAATAATTTTAAGTTTTAAGAATTATTGCTAATAAGTTCGAAATCTTGGCAAAAATTTTAAAATACTCGCGACAGCACAAGAATAAGTCACCTACCATTTAATGCATTTATTTTATAACATTGACAACCGGTTTCCCATATCCTTCTCCAATAATAATAACCATCAGTTTAGTACTCCCTCGAATTTATCTAATCAGGAGATTGATCATAACCAAACCTAGGAAAATGTCACCATTATTGATCCTATCAGCACCTACACCCAAAATCAACGGATATCGGATGTCCCCGAAGGGACCAACACGCAAAACCAATGGAAAACTCAACTTGATCACCAATTACCAATGCATGGAGGGAAATTTCAAACACGACACCCACTAAAGGAGTGTTAGAGCCCCTCCCCCTAAGGTTTACAGGACCATTAGAAGCAAAGTTGCCAAGAAGTATAAGATTTTTCTTTGGTTCGGAGCCCTTGGTGGGCTCTACATAATTGATAAGGGGCAGCAATGAAGTCCCTCTGAGACTCTCAATCCAAATCGGTGGACCTTATGTTCAACATAAGGGCTTAATGTTTCAATATCATTCATCTATGCTGGAGTTCTAAAAGGAAACGGGAGATTGAATCGAAAAGAACCATGTAGTATAAAGGCAGCGGATTCCGATATAGAAACAAGAAGAATGGTTCTAAAGAATCATAACAAATTGAAAGATAAAGTTGGGAAAGAATTTACAGTTGAAAAGAATATCCAAATCAATTTTGGGGGAAGAGAGAGTCGGATGGTTTGGAGGTGGATTGGGATAACATTATGGTTGTAACAAAATTTTGTGCTCATGATGATTGGAAAGAAATTTCTTCTGCTCTCAAATGAACATATGATCAACAGTGTCAAATTAACCCATTTACGGCAGACAAAGCCTTGCTTAGATTTGAAGATGGTAGGCTATTGAAGAAGGAAGAGATGAAGGGCAAATGGTGGAAAATCGGAGATCTTTATCTGAAGATGGAACTTAGTTGTCTTAGGGAAGAGGGGAAAAAAAGTAAGTATGCTATGTTCTCTCTCCTCTCTCTTTCACCCCCTCCGGTGTGTAGTCTGGTGAAGATTTTCTTTGGATCTTAGCGAGTTCTTAGTTATATTTGTGAGATTTATTAATTGATTAAGTATGGAAGTGATTACTTGCTGCATTGATGGGTTTTTTTTTTCTGTATATGGCCTGAAGTTTATGCACGAAGACTCAAGAGAAAAGTTTTAGTTCCTTTGCATCCTTCTCAATTTTTGTGGTTTGAGAAACACATGAGGGAGATCACACAGAAGCTGATTTCAGCTCACTTTTCTTATCAGACTCGAGACACACTTGGTCAATGTTGAATGCAAAAAATCAAATCCAGTCATGGAATTGGTTGTTTGGCCTTGTTCAGGAGGTCGTATGAATGCTATCATTAGGGGTGTTCATCGGTTGGTCGGATCGGTTTTCAGGCCTAAATCGACTCTGACCGACACACTGTCAGTTATAAAAAACGGAAACCGACCGACCATCAAAGCTGCTTTCCCACCGACCGACTAACATATGCTTCGATCAGTCGGTTTCCGACAAACCAAACATTGAGTAGGGCTACTGCGACGGCGTGGGCGATTGGCAAGTGTGGCATGTGGGTGGGGGCCGTGGGGCTGCTGCAGGAACTGAGCGGCGGGCGGGATCCTGGGTTGCGGCGAGATAAGGACGGTCGGTGAAAGGAAAAAACTGGTTCCTTGTACTTCTGAGAGAAAAGATGGGAAGAAGGGAGAGGGGAGAAGAGAGAGATGGTGGAGGAGGGGTGGACAAAACAACCTTGAGAAGAAAGTTATTGCAATGGAGAAAAAGGGAAGGGAAGAGAGAAGGGTGATGGAAAATGGGAGTGAAAGAGAGGGGAAGACACAATATTAAACAAAAAAATATATATTGGGTGGTTTGAGAAAACCAGCAGGTTTTCTCAAAACAACCCAAAGTACATCTGGCGCTGCATGAAAAGTGGTGCATATTAACGGCAGTAGCGTGTGGCAGTGCATGAATTGATAAGTATTTAATGACTTTTTTTTTTAGAATATATGAATAGCCGGTTGGGTATCTTTTTTCCCATTCTCCGACCGACCAACGTTGACCGTACTATGGCTAAAACCGACCGATCAATGTCAGTTCAGTTGGTTTTGGTCGGTCGGGGGCGGTTTTTCGGTGATGAATGTTCACCCCTAGCTATCATACCGGTTGGTTATGAGAGAAAGGGCTGGAAATCCTTCTGGACAATGCTGAGAACCTTTTCAATTCTTCTAGCAGAAAATCAGGCTTTGAAACTGGAAATGACTCGTAATATGGCTGTTGGTTGGGGGAAGGAGTCAGAAAGGCTAGTGAAGGAGATTTCCCATGGAGTTCAAAGGAAGTCATACGATTCCGCTGTAATGGAATCAAGGTTGGAAGTTGTAATGTCAGGAAATTCTAGAGATGAAGTATTCCCCGTTGGTGTGGTGAAACACAGACTCCATTGTATGATAGACAGTGGGTTAGAAAAGCTGAAGAAGTACTAGAGATGCAATGGGAAATAACCATGGTGATTCATAGAAGCTATGCTCTAGGATGATTGGAAAGATATTTCCATAGCAATACAAAATCAGTTCTCAACGGCCTGCACTATCAACCCTTTTATGGCTGACAAAGGGCTTATTAAGTTTACAAATGACAAAAAGTTGAACCAGTCTTGGCTTGATGGCCGATGGAAGAAGGTTGAAGAATTTTATGTTAAGTTTGAAAAACGGCATTCTGAGAAGCATAGCAGAAAAGATGTAGTGTTTTGCATCCTAGAAGAATCGTTTTTAGAAGAGACTGCTCCATTCATCTTATAGCTTGATCAGCTTTTCTTATCTTGGAGTTATAATGGTTTAACAAAGTAAGGACCATTTGAAGAAAGTTTGGACTTTGAAGCTGAACGAGTCAGAAGTTTCAGTATTACATAATCTTGTAACATGAAGTTGATTTCAAAGAGTTTCCTAGGTTAAAGTTCAATAAAGTCATTCGAAGCTGGTCCTTGCAAGTGGGAGGCTTATCATGCTTGAAGATCCAGATTTTTCTAAAGCTTTTATTCCATGTTCTTGTTTGTCTTTTATCTTACTTCTTCTTTGGGGTTGTATTTTCCCTCTTTGGGTTCTTGCTTTCTCTTTTCTTCTCTTTCATTTTCCTCTCGTCCCCTTGGGAGATTGTATCCTTTGAAAAATTTATTGTTCCTTTTCATTAATCAGTAAAAAATTCGTATCTAAAAAGAAACTTGATAGTTGAATTGACAAACTTGATAATTGAATTGACTTTAGCGCATGTTAGCTGGACCCTTTACAATCACCTTCTCTCTCTCCTGTAGGATCTCTAGATCTTGACAGTATGGATTTGAACCATCCGTACCCACAATTTTTAATTTTGCCTCAAACTCATTCCTTATCTGGCAAACATAGCCTTAATAGAGTGGAAGATTTCTATTATCATATTTAAATTAGCAATAAATAATTGAATTTGTCAATTAAGAGAAACAAGAGGACCACCTAACGAAAGGAAAACTTACAACAGTTAACCTCTTGACCAAGCCGTGTTTTACTCTCAAATCCAGATCTTTGCATTCCTCCTGCAACATATGGCAATGACAATATAACTCCTAATAATAATAATCAAAATAAGAAAACTCCCGTGCAACACATACAAGTAACACGTAGATGCATATGTAAGATTACATTTTAATTCAACATAGAGGGTAAATTTTGGCTTGGAGGAGAAAAAAGCCTCTGGAAAAAAATAAGTTGGAAAAGTGATCCTTTAGATTGCGTTTGATAACCACTTTGGTTTTTTTATTATTTCTTTTTTAGAACAAGAAACAAACTTTTCATTGATAGTTAGAAAGGAAGAAAAATGTTCAAGGATATGAACTTCAAAACGGAGTGAAAAGAAAAAACTAAACAGCTAAATTAAGAACAAAACTCCAAAAATTACAAGAGAATAAAACATTAAAGAACAAAACAAATAATATCCCGAGACAACGACGAACCGAAATAACCAAAATCACTTCTAATATGCTTCAAGCAACGAACATCGTACCACGAGGTAGGGGTGATCATCGGTTGGTCAGAGTCGGCTTTGGGCTCAAACCGGTGCCGACCACCGACACATCGGTTTGCGTCGGTTGAAGCTCGTCGGTTTTAGAAGACTTTACACCTTTGATTGGTCAATTTTAGTCGGTTTGGAGAAGAAGAAGTTAGAGAAAAGAAAAATAAGAAAAGGGAAGGGAGACGAGAGGCGGGGGAAGATAAATAAAAAACAAAAAGAAAAGACCCAAAAAAAGAAAAGAAAAAAAAAAAGAAGAAAAATAACAGAGATGGATAGCTGGAAGAAGAAAAGAGAATGGAAGATTGGCGGAGGATGATAAAGAAAAAAAAAAGGAAAATGAAGAGAACTTACCTAGATTCAACCCAAAAAAAAAAGAATAGAGATGAAGAGAAGGACAAAGATTGGTGGCAAGTGGGACGTTGGTTGGCGTAGGGGGCACGCGCGCAAGGGGGCGTTGGTGGGTGTGGGCGCGCGGGGGTTGGCGGTGGTGGGCGTGAATTTTGAAGGGTAATCTCCAATGACTTAAGTTATGCGTGGCGCACGCGCGGGCAGGGGTACCATTAAGGTTCCTAGTGTCTTGTCTTCAAGAAATCAAAGAGGGAGCTAAACAAAATTGTCTTTCATGAGGATGAGGCATGAAGGTTTTCTTAGATTTTGACGATGATGATCTCAATGCAGAGGTTAGTATCAGTAGTCTAGATTCATCCACAAAGTCTGTCGAATCTTGCTATTTAAAGATCTAAGTCAGCATTCTTTTGAGGAATATTTTTTAATTTTTTGTAATGAGCAAAAGGAAGTTGAAGCGCCAAACGGCCAAATTCACCAAAACATTCTTCAATTCCTCCCTATTATGAAAAAGTGGGAATCACCTTGTAACTATTAATAGGGATCATTGGTTGGCATGTTCGTTCCAAACTTAAAGCACGGACATATAATTAGTCAGAGTGTCCATGTCGAACACGTGTCTGACACGCAATTTTGTGTTTCTAATTTTTTTTTCTTTTTTAATTTTGGAAATGGGAGGGATATGCTTTGGACACGGGAGGGACACGTGAAGGTGAATTTTGTTTCTGAAACCCAAACTTAGAAGCCCAGCAACAATTTTAAAAGAAAAAACCTAAAAGTTAAGAACAATTAAAAAAAAACTAAATCTAAGTACCAGTGACCATGAAAAACACCCCACCACGCACAAAACGAAAACAAAGGCCACCCACTACCATCGATCTGCATTCACTGCCGCTGCCGTCAATATCTCTGCCGCCGAGACTATTCTGTTCAGCCAAACTTTTCTGTTCGTGTGAACTGCCGCCAAATCCCTCGGTTCGTCGTGTGTGAGTTAAATAAGTTTGTTCTGTCTTTCTCTTTTTTTTTTCCTTCTTTTTTTCTTAATTTCGTATGAAATAAATTAAAGAAGAATATGTTCTTGAAGTAGCTAATTTATCTTTGGATGAACTAGATTTGGAGGCTGTGGTTTTTAGCAAGGATGGCGATGAGATGTTATGGAGATTTGAGAGGATAGGTTTAGTTTTAACTTTCTTCGTACCGAAACTTTGTATTGTAACTTTTCTTGAAGGTTGGATAATGTGTTTTGCAAATTGACTTGACATTTATGTTTTTTTAATTGAGTACATTTAGCATTATTATTATGTTAAATTTACATATATCCTTAAAAAATTAAAAAAATAAAATAATGTATCCCTAACGTGTCCATGTCCTAGTTTCTTAGAAATTGACGTGTTGTGTCCATGTCTGTGTCCTATGTCCGTGTCTGTGCTTTTTAGGTTCTAGATTTAGAAGAGCCTTATTGAAGCATCTCCACAGTTTTTGGATTGGCACATCGTGCTTTATTTGCAGTCTCTCGTTTATCAAGATTCTCCTTTTGTTTTTCAAGGTGTTTATATTGAAGCTTGTCTTCTCGCATATTTCTTGATCACATTTTTTGGTTTCTCGATTTTGGCTTCCAATAAGGTTTATTTCAAGCGGTTTTTGTGGGGGTTTGAGAAGTCTTAGTTGAAGCTTCTCCTCCCCTTTAAAGGCAACGTCAAGGTTGTTTTCTGGGTTTAAATGGAGTCAATGGAAGTTTATTACTATACATCGCCTTATCATCCTCCTCGCCGTCCTTACTCCGTCACTTCTTTGAGTTTCTCTTCCAATGAAAAGCGGCTAGAATTTGTAAAGAAGAAGTTGGAAAAGAGGCTAAAAGAAATGGCTCTATGTGAAGATGGTTGGTCTATTAGAAGGCTAGAGTTGCCTTCTCAGCGGAGATTGGAATTCAATATTCTTTTTTGCCAAGATCAGTGTCATTGGGCTAGAAGTTGTTCCGGTTTTAAATATGATTGTCGTCTATCTCTTGTTTCTTGAAGTTTTGGGTGTTACCTTGAGGTATCAGACCGGTTTGTTTTTGCAAAAGAATTCAATTCAATTTTTTGTCACATCTTATGACCAAGTCTCTGAACCATCATGTTGTCGCCTAGTGGTCAATAAGGGCCAATGTAAATAGCAAAGGGCTTATAGGGAATGGGTTCAAACCATGGTGACCACCTACCTAGGATTTAATGTCCTACGAGTTACCTTGGCAACCAAATATAGTAGGGTCAGGCGGTTGTCTCGTGAGATTAATCGAGGTGCGCGCAAGCTGGCCCGAACACTCGCAGATACAAAAATAAAAAAATAATAAAAAAATCTCATGATCAAGCCTCTAGGATTTCTCAAATTATTTTTTTCCTTTATTCTGTATTTTCTTTTCGCTTTTTCTCTTTTGTATTCTTCTTATGGCTCTCTTTCGCTCCCTTTGGGAGTTTGTATCTTCGAATATTGTATTTCCTTTTCATTATTTCAATGAGAAGTTTGTATCTTGTTCTAAAAAACTAACCACCTCCACAAGATTATTGAGAAAATGTTCAAGAAAGAATTTGTTGGTTTGGTGACGAAAGAATAGTACGTTGAGAAAAGGATGAATATTTTAAACAAATTGAAGAGAGGTGAAGGAGAAACATCAAAAGTTACAACAAGATGAAGAAGAACTCCAACTGCAAAACCATAGGAAAAGGAAAATGAGGGGGAATTCACATGTCTTTATCAGATTATTTTGAGAATGGAAGTGATGAGGATGATGAAAAGAAAAAAAATAATAATAATTGGAGCCATAGGCAAGTCATTCAGGCACGAAAAGGTGATACAATGATCCGAAAATTGGCCAAAAAAAATCACAACAAAACCTGGCAACTAGATGCACAATACTGGCAGAACTCTTTTCCTAAAGAAACCGAATGAGAACAATTATGTTTTGTACAATCTAAAACCTACGTCCAGTCCTTTTGAGACCCCCAAAAACTTTTATTGTTTCCTTCCAACCATAAATTCCATAAAATCACCTTTGACTGCATTTAACCACAACTTCTTTGCTTTCCCCTTAAAAGAAACTTCACACAATAATTGTGCAATTCTCTTTCAGAAAGTAATGAAATGCCTAGGATAAACAAAAAATTGTATTTTCTTTCAAATATGTCTCTAGTTGTGGTTCTAATAGAGAGAGTGAGACGTATTTTTGAGGTTTAGTCTTCGGGGGATACTCGTTTTTGTTCTTGTCCCTGTTGTTACTTTGTAAAGTTCAATTGCTTAACGAAAAGTTTTGTCCTTTTAATACTCTTTGCACAGGGTCTTCCTGGCCCAGACTCCTTTTGACCCTTTCCCCCTCTAACATTTATGGGCCCTTAAATCTTAAATCATTTTGTAATTACTCTTTCATTTTTACCCAAACCAATTTGGGAGCTTTTACATAACTCTTTGGTCGCATGTACTTTTCAAGTTCTTAATGGAAAATGACTATTTCTTAAAAAAAAAGATAGAGAGATAATCCTTACGAAACTGAAAAATCTTCCTTTCAAACTTCTCGATGAGGGGGATTCCCTCCCCGACTCTCATCAACAAGAGAGAAAGAGAGAGCCTTAAGTACCTAAGAGGTGGTTTAAGTCTAGGCGGTTCGTTTTACTTAAAGTTTTTTTTTTCCTTAATTGTTAAAAAGATAATAAAAGAAGAAGATAATTTTGCGGTAGCCTTGTCTCCAATGGTATGTGTTTTATGTTTCTCGATAGAGGAAGACCAATCAAATTTTCTGTTCATTGCCCCTTCAATGGCAATGGCAGGCATTGGGAGCATGTTTAATATCTATAAGTTTTCGTGGGTATTGGATAAAGGCTCTAAAGAGAATACTGTCCAAATGCAAAATGTGAAGTGGAGTGAAGCTAAAAAGTAAAGCAAGATTGTTGAGCATTGTTGTGGATTGATGTGATTAAAGAAACTATTTAGAGTATTTGGTTTGAAAGAAACCAAATAATCTTTCCCTCCAAATGCTCCAAATAATATATGCCATCATATAATGAAAACAGTACATTAGCAACTCAAAAAATTATTTGAAAGTCCAAAGAGGAAAAAGAGCTGACCTTGTCCACCCAAGGAGTTATATTTTATGATTAGTACTAAATGTAAACTTCATCCCAATGCGAAGTTTGACCCCAATAGTTA